CTGCTAATGACTTTTTAGTCTAACAAAAGGTCTGCGATGACAGAGGCAATATGCAGTATTCTGCCTCTGCATTAGAAGAGACACTATAGTAGTAGGTTGTTTGTTGGTTTGCCTAGAAGTTAAGTTCGGACAAAGGAAAATGCAATGGTCTACAGTGATCAATGGGTATCTGGGAAACCTGCCTAATCTGCATCTGAAAATCCAATTACCTGAAATGATGAGTTTGAGTAAATTTGAACCATAATCAACCTGTCCTAAATGTAATGAAGATTGAGTTAGATAGCTTGGAAATGATTGTCCCAGGATCATGCATAAACTGACATACTTGATTCACCGAAACCCATATTAGGTCCATTCAAAGTGAGTTACTAGAGAGCACCAACTAGGCTCTGATGAAAAATAAGATCAAGCAAAAGGGAGACTATTTCCTTGTGACAGTTTGGACAAAGCTAATAAAGGGCGGAAAGTGCCTTGAATTCTCTACGCAACCATACTGTAACAACTCCAAAGAAGACTTTTATGATCTAGAAGCAAGCCTTTGATACCGCAAGATTTTGATGTTCAGAAAATTTCCTGGAGATATAGGGCAGAATGAATGTCAATAAATGAAGGCAGTGGTCTGCAGAAACTTAAGCCAGTGATTACATTGTTTTTAACCGATGATTAATCCTTTAAGAAGTTATAGAATAAGATCTTCTAAGTATAGATCGTGATCTATGGAGATAAAAGAATGATGGGATCTTTAGATTTTGCGGATAGGCATCTATAGTGAGGTCATTTCCTGGATATCATAGAATTTGAATTTAAGATGTAAGAGGTGGCACGCATGGGCTTGACAGAAGAGTTGGCTTGATTGAAGGGTTGTCCAATCTCCTTTCATGATTGTTTGGCAGTAAGGTTATGGATACGTTTGATTAGGCTGGGAAGAATACCTAAGGATACAGTTTCTTGGACAGGATAAGATGAGTGAATCAACCTGCTTCTAAATTAGAGCTTCCATGTTAGGCTGGGGCCTAAGGCATCATCAGTGAGTATTTTGAGAGGAAGAAAAGAATCCGAACTATCAAGACAATCAAGGACTCCATAACTTTTGAGGACATGTAAAAATAGAGATTTCTAGGTGATTTGTGAAGGGTTTCACTGGCATAATTCTTTATGTTGGAGACTCCAAAAGAAGGTTGTGAATTTTTTGAACAAGCAAAAGACGTGGATGAAGTAGAGATCAGACAAGTAGAGGATTTGGTTGCTGAGCTCATTTTAAGAAGAGAACTGGGGCAGCTCCAATGGACTCTTTTTGACAAACTGCACAAAGAAGGCCATATGCATTGGAGATTGTTTCAGTCTTCTAGATATTGTAAATTATTGAATGTATTTTGGTCTCATTAATCAGTAGGTAACGAACTATCAACCAGAAAATATAATTATGGGACATACATTGATGGTACAAAGATTATTGTCATAAGCATTTTGTATGTCATTGTTTTAGTGCTATGTTGCTTGCAGATAGAAATTCATTATAGGCATTGCAGCGTTTTAAGTATCGTAAGTGATGTATTTTGGTCTCTTCAGTTTTGCTGATAATTTATTAAAAGATAGATGCTTTATACATTGTTTGGATTGAGAGAAGCAGGAGGAAGGAAAAGAAAGGAAGGGATGCTCATCTTTCTTTTCCTTGTTTGGATAAAAAATTATTATTATTTAAGGAAACGGAGGAATTGTGAGCATATCTCTCCTTTTCCCCTTTAAAACTCTAATTTTCTATTCCTCCAAATTGCAGGAAAATGAAGGAAAAGGAAAGGGATTAAAATTTTAAGGGGAACCTTCTATACTAACCTTATTACCTAACTAAAGAAAATCGTTAATTATTTTCTCATAGCTAATCATTTTCTTTATAGAGCTCATCCAAATAAGATGCTGCAACTGTTGTTTCTTTTCCTTTACTTTTTAATGTTTGATTGTCCAAATAAGGTAAGACATTTCTTTTCATTTTTTCCGTTCCTTTGAAAATCATTATTTTCCTTTCCATTCCTCTCTATTCTTCTACTAATGTTTACCCAGAGATAGTGTTAGAATTCTGCATTATAAGATTAACCTATTCAAAAACCTGTTTTATTTCCGGACATTATGCTAATCAAATTTCAAGTTATTTGCTGCAAATGCACCATTGTCTCTTATTTCATAAAATATTGTTTTTGCCCTGGTTGACATGGATGCTTTTCCTCATGGGATTTCTTTATGTGAATCTCACCTTCAGAGTTTTGTGAACATTTGCTCTTTCGATTTGCAGAAACGGACGAAATTAAAAGAACACCAAAGAAGGACAAAAGGATGGAAAAAGAAATCATGGCCGCAAGCCCATGAGGACATTACGCTATTTTTTGGCCTCATAGATGTCAAAGTTGTGTCAAGGGTTCTGAGAGTGGTGAGGATCAGTAAAGAGCAACTGTTTTGGTGTGAAGAAAAGATAAAAAAGCTTGATCTTGCCAATGGAAAGTTGCAGAGGGACTTCTCGCCTACTCTTTTCCCTTGTTGATATCTGTAAGAAACGATGAACAAAATTCAGTTTACTTAGCTGCAAGAAGATGCACCTTCTGGTCTTTATACTCGATCAATTTTGTAATGGATGGTATAAACACTGATCATATATCTTGTTCATCAGCTTTGGTAGATAGCAGTGCATAGTTTGAAGTTGTTGTGGTGCTATTTACACCATTTCCTACCACCTTTGACATTAAACTAGCTGCTAATTTCAGTTGTTGGAAAGTACTTGAATGTCAGTGTTTATACCATCATACAGAATTGGTTTGTTTTTTCCTTTTACTTCATCTGAGGCTGTTGGGTGAAAAGAACAGGAGATTTTTGCATCCTTCCGACAAACCTACCAACATATATATATATATATATACACGCTGATATTTTGAAATCTTCTTCTTCCAGTGTTGCAAGATGTATACATATGCTAAGTAATTGGGTAATTTGTTAACCTTTCATCTCGGAGACCAATTTAGTTTACTTTTCTTCCCAGTCAATCTTAACGGAATCCATTGAGTTTCGGTCAGCTGCTCTTTTCTTTTTAACTCTCTTAAATCTCATTCCAACTTTTATTAGAGCAGTTCAAATCAAACTGGTTAGGAAGATTAGTTTGGTTGAACTGAAAACCAGTTTTTTTAATTCATATATTATAATAACATATTTTATGTAAATCTAATTATTAAATTTAGGATATATTATAATTACATTATAAATGTAAAAATTAAATATTTATTAAGCAAAATTTAATATTGATCTTTTTAATATAATTAAAAATTTATTAATTATATATATATATATATATATAGTATGATGGATTAAGTTACATATGGAGTAATTAAATTATTAGATCTATATCCACTA